GTCGTCGTCGTCGTGCGGCGACGACGACGACCTTCTCCTTCCTCGTCATACGTTCTATGTGCGACTTCTCGGGGCCAATCGTTTATGACCCCCCCCCGGGACCCCGAGCTTCCTTCTCCCCCGGGTGTTATTCTCAGGGACAGTTGGTATTCCAGATTTCGTAATAAAAGGGGCGGGGTCTCATTTCGGGGGGGGGGTCTCTTCCAGGCTATCTTGGAGGGCCTGGGGGGGTCTGGGGACGATGTTTTGGAGGGTTCTCCCACGGGGGAGGTCTGAAATGGCTCGTCTTGGAGGGTCCAGACCCCCTCCCTTTTACTACGACATCTGGAGCAGCCTCAAGGCGAGCCAAGATGGCCTCAAGACGGCCCACGAGGCCTTCGAGGCGTCCCAAGAACGCCTCAAGATCCCTGGGCCTCAGAGGGCAAAAAAAAAGCATTGGTTTTCTAAACGTTGATCATCGTGTCTCGGGCTCCTCGGGGCTGGCCAGGAGCTGCGGGCTCGGCCACGCGTCCGCCGTCAGCCGCCGGCAGGCCTTCGGCGGGCCTCGGCCCTCCTCCTCCGCGCCCCTTCTCCTCCCTGCTGCTCCTCCTGCTCCCCATCCTCGCCCTCGTTCCTCGCCCTCGTCGTCGGCCCGTCTCTTCTCCAGCCTCTTTTTCATACCTATCCTCTTCCGCCACCCTCTTTCCTCCCCTCCTCCCTCCTCCCTCGTCGTTCTCTCTCTCTCTCTCTCTCTCTCTCCCGCCCCCCCTCTACAATTACACAATATGAAAATACTCTCCCACTTCCCCTGATGGCGTCCGGAAGATATTCGGCACCCCCCCGCGTACTGTTTTTTTACACACAGGATTCCCCGGAGTTGGGTTTTCGCTTGTGTTTTTTTCTAAAATGCTGCTCTCGCTGAGGCGCCGGCCTCATTTCTGCTCCCGAATCGTTCCGAATCGTGCTCCCGCTGCAGCGTGGGCCTCATTTTCGGATCGGTGTTTGGCCTCCGTCGTTCAGGATGGCGTTCTCGCCCCAGCGCGGGCCTCTTTCTCGCGCGCCCATCCGCCCGCCACCACCGCGCCGCACCACCACCACCACCACCACCACCACCACCACCACCACCACCACCACCACCACCACCACCACCACCACCCACCACCACCACCACACCAACCACACCACACCCACCCCAGCAGCACCAGCACCAGCACCACCAGCACCAAACCACAGCAACCAGCACCAGCACAGCACCACACCAGCACCAGCACCACCCACACCACACCACACCTACCAACCACCCACCACACCACCACCACCACCACCACCACCACCACCACCACAACCACGCACACACGCACGCACGCACGCACGCGCACCACCACCCACTAGTTACGCACGCGCGCGCGGAGCCACAGGTCCGCTACGACACGCGTCCGCGGATAGAGAAAATCAGCGCCATGGTAAGGGATGGGAGGGAGGGGTAGGACGTCAGATATGACGCGAGCGCACCTAGCTTGCCCTCCCCCCTCCCCTCCTTCCCTCCCGCCTCCCTCCTCCGTCTTCCCTCGTGCGCAGCCCCCCTTTCCCGAGGGTGCGCAACACGACGGGGTCTTTTTTTTTGGAGTCCCAGGTCCGTTGTGACACGTGCCCGCGGACAGAGGAAGGAGCAGCGCAATGGGAAAGGATGCGAGGGCGGGGTAGGGTGTCAGATGTGGCGCGAGCGCACCTACAGCCAACCCGCACAGTAAGGGTGAGCGACTTTCCAAGGCTACCCGTGCAGCCTTCCCCTCCGGCCCATCCTTGGCCGCTTTCGCTGGCCGCGCCCCGCTCGCAAAGTGGCGAAATGGCCTTCCACGGCCCTCGCATCTTTACACGGGTTGACTGCAGCCTGGGAGCTCTACCGCTGCACAGGAGTGGCCCCTCCTTGTAAGGGCTTCTGGCTGCCCCTGGGCCTCAGGAGGCTCCCTGAGGCCGCTTGCAGAGCCCCAGAGGCCCTCGACGAGCGCGTGGGACCCATGCCTCCAACGTTTTGGACCAACTGTTTAGCTTCAAGGCTTTCGCCCTTGCTGGGGCCCCCCCCTTCCCCCCTTCCCCCCTTCCCCTCGCGGGCCCCGCGGCGGAGACGGGCGCCGGCGCGGGGCGGGGGGGGGGCAGCGGAAGTGTTGTCCACGGCGCCATGCCCCCGCCAGTGAAGAGGTGGGGCCGCCTGCCTCCTGATCCCCCCCTTCGATGCTCGCTTTGGGGGCCTTCCTGAGGCCCACCGAACGGCTCTGTTCGACTCTAGTTCGACCCGGGTTCGGCTCAAGTTCGACTCGAGTTCGACTCGAGTTCAGCTCAGATTCGACCCAGGTTCGACTCAGGTTCGACTCAGGTTCGACTCAGGTTCGACTCAGGTTCGACTCAGGGGTCGGCTCAAATCGACGGACGTTCGACGCAGCTTCGACGCACGAGTGGAGCGAGTGTCTCCAGGAAGGTCCCCAGAATGAGCATCCAGCCCCTCCCTCCCTGCCACAGTGCTCGCGCTCGGCGTTCGCCTCCCCTTCCAGCTCTGATGCGGTCCCAGGGCCGCGCTCTCTTGCAGGTTCGCCCCCCCCTTCCCCCTCCGCCCCTCTCCTCTCTTTCTCCCCCTCCCCCCTCCCCCCTCGATGGGGTCGACCGCAACGGTGCTTTTGGCGACGTCGTGGGCCTCTTCGCTTCGGCACCTCGTCTCGCAGCACAGAGGCGGGGCGAGGACAAAGCCGGGGAAGAGGAGGGCGAGGCGAGAGCGACAAGACGGCACTGACGAGGCCGATCCCTGGGAGGTGCGCGCCGCTCGGCTGGGACTTCGCCCTCGTCCAACTCTACGCCCGCGGCTCGGCCGTGCCCCGCCGCGCGCCGGCCGCCGGCCGCCCGCCCTCCGCAGGGGGGGGCGCCTCCTGCCCGCCGGCGGGGCGGAGCGGTGCGGAGGAGGGGGCGGAGGGATCGGCTGCCGCGCAGGAGCGGGCCTTCGCCGCAGGGACCTCCTCCTCCTGCTCCTCTTCTCCCCCCTCCTCCACCCTCCTCCTCCTCCTCCACCCTCCTCCTCCTCCTCCTCCTCCTCCTCCTCCTCCTCCTCCTCCTCCTCCTCCTCCTCTTCCTTCCTCCTCCTCCTCCTCCTCCTCCCCCTCCTCCTCCTCCTCCGCCTTCTTCATCCTCCCCATCCGCCCCAAGGGCTGAGGGACCTCAAGAAGCGGGTCGTTGAAGGCAGGTGTCTTTGGATTCCCAGGTCCCGATCTGCTTCAAGCGCCCTCCTGCCTCAAGAGCCGATGCGCTTCTGCTGCTTGTGGTTGTGTTCTCTGGGAGGGCTTGAGCCCAATCTGCTTGATCCGCCTTCCTACTTCCTGTTTGTGCCTGCTTCTTCCGAGCGACGTCTGCAGAGGGCGTGCCCGCAGGGGGCCCCTCCCGCGCTGGCCTGCGAGCTCGGGCCTGCTTTCCCGAGGGCCCCCGGAGGCGCGCACACCGGAGGTCGCTCTTGTCCTGGGGCCACCTCTTGCGTGTGGGCGAGCGGAGAAGGGAGATCCTTCGGTCATGTCGATTGTCATCCCTGTATGTGGTATCTGCAGATTTTCTTCACCTCCATCGCCCCTCCACGGTCACCTGGTGAGCGTATTCTTTACGAATGTGCCCACCAGGTAGCACCTGGTGAGCATATTCTCTGTGCCCCTGCGGGCTCATTTTTTTTTTTTTTTTTTTTTTTTTTTTTTTGGGTGGTGTTTTGTTGTAAAGCGTCTCCTAATATAATCATATATCTGCTACGCTTACCAGGTCTAATCTGTTTGCCACCGCGCTTGAGTCGGTTCTTTGCCTCCTTTCTTCTACGTGAGCGCAGCAGCTGTGCAGCTTATGCCCGGTGAACGTCAACAAGTTCAAGGGAAATGAGGTGGAAGTACCTCTAGGCGTGCCGGCTCGCTGCATTTCGCTGACGCTAGTGTGGACGCCCGGTGGCGTGACCTGTGTCTTGCCATGTCAGCCGATCGCTCCGCCAGCTTCTCTTTCTCTTCTCCAGGGTGTGTGCTGAAAGACAGCATCGTCCAGCCGAACCCCATCCCCACCGGGCCACGGCATACCCAGCCCCACGAGTTTGAAGGTCGGCACAAATCGGCGCCGTCCAGGCGTGTGCTGGCAACGTGCTGGCAGACAAGACATGCATTGTTCTGGGCTGGGCTCCCTAGATTCGAACATCGTCAACAGCGTCTGGCAATCTCCACGTTTCAGATCAGGATGGCTCCAAGAGGCCCCAGGAGATTCGGGAAGGGTCCCAAAAAGCCCCATAATCCGTGCCAGAGACCGGCCCAAGGTGGCTCGGAGACGGCCCACGACCTCCCGAGGATGACCCCCGGACCCCTTCCGAGCAGCCGCCAGACGTTGCAAAAGGGCCTCACGAGGCCCTAATGGATCTCAAGATGCCGAGTGCTCTTAGGGTGCCCAAAAGGGTCGCTAGAGGGCCTCCAAAGTTGACACCAGCCTGAAACATATCCCTGTCCTGATGCCAGGCACAACCTTGTCTCGACGCCGATCTTAAGGATTTCTTCAGTTTCTGGCGTCGCATTCCTAATTTGTCATTGCATTTGGGCTTGTTAATCTTAGGGACAAGGATAAATTCGAGACTGGTTAGACACGCAAGCGATGACGCCCTCTAGCCAAGGAGAGGTTCTTTCCGTCACCGTGTTGGCGAGATCGAACACGCATCTGGCCTGTTGAACCAGCGAGCTCAAAAGCAGTTCTAGAATGAGACACCGCGACGCAACGACACAGCATATTCACCCTGACAGCCAATTCCTTTTCTCGCATGCCTGTGGGTCCTCCAGGGTGGCCCTCCTTTCTTCAGCCATTCGTCTTTGTCGGCGGGTGGACGCTGCAAAGCAAACCTTGCAGAGTCTCACTTCGTACTCCCCCCTCCTCCTGTGCCATTTGCACCCTTGCCGCTTGGTGAGTTCTCCCCATATCCCATCCTTCCCATAGCCATTCCTTCCAGTGGCACGCGCGAGGGCGACTTGCGAATGCCACTTCCGCTTGGCATTCCACCGCGGCAGCCCGGCGGCTCGGAAGGGCTACCGACTGAGTACCTGGGCTTGCCGCCGTTCTTCCTCGAGATCCTGCGGGAGCTGGCGAGGCACCAGGCCCAGCTGGGCGGCGTGAGGAACTTCGATGGATACCCCCAGATCCGCGGCAAAGCGACAGCAGAGGACTTGAAGGCCCGTTTCACCAACTACGAGTACATCTTCCTGCAGGTGGTGGGCTTCGCGAGGCTGCATCAGCACGTCGATGAGATAGCGGCGAAGAACAACGGCCAGGGACACGCTACCAACCCAGGCACACAGCAGCTGGAACGCTTTTGCGGCATGACCATGCACGGCGACCGGCCTGGCGCCAATGGGGTCTTGCGCTCGGCGGGTCCCAGCTTGGTGCGGGCCTTTCAGGTCTCTAGGACGACCAGAGGAGGGGCTCTCGAGTTCTTCAAGGTCGCATTCGACAGAGAGGCAGATCCGTGCCTAGAGGGGAGGGTGTCGAGGCTGCTCGACTACCTGGAGAAGCACGAGAGCGCCGCTTCCCCCTCGGCGGCGCCCTGGGAGGAGAGCTTTTTCATGGCCTGGGCCATAGCTCGCGTTATGGCCCCTTCCCCCCCTTTCCAATCCGATAACGTAACGCCCCCTCCGCCCAACGCGTGCCCCCCCTTGCCCCCCCCTTCAGTGCGCCGCCCCGCACTGCCGCAGCGCACTCGTGCATCGCAGCATCGTAGTCAGATGCGGTCGTAGCGCCTGCGTTGAGCTCGCAGGCTGCCGTGGCGCTCGTAGGCTGTAGTGGTTCTCGGGGGCTACTTTGCTCGCAGGCTACTGTAGTGGTCTCCGGTTTGCTGCCCGAGCTCGCAGACATGCTGCGGTGCTCGCAGGCTGTTGCGGTCTTTGCAGGGCCCCGCATGCTGCTGCGCATACGCACGTGGCGCTCGCACATTGTTTTCGTACTGGCAGGGTCCGGCTGCCCGCCGCCGGGCGGTCGCGAGCACAGTGCGGTGCTCACGGGCACGCAGTGGTGCTCGCAGGCTGCCGTTGTGGTGCTCGTCGACGTCGGCGGCGCTCGCGCCAGCTGCGGACGGGCGCCTGCTGTGGCCGGCGCCGCCGCCGCCGCCCGTCCCCCCTGGGCCCGGAAGTCTTGCAAGGCTGCTGCGGTTCTGGCATGGTCTGTCTTGGCCTCTGCTTGCCGTCCAGTGGTGTCAATCGCGCGTGGCACTCGCGGGCAAATTGTGGTGCGCACAGGCGCTGCGACCGAGCCTTGCTGCAAGGCTGAGGTGCGCGCGAGCGGAGCGGTGGTGCCGGGGGCACACTGCGGGGGGGGGGACGTTACGTTGCCCCTCCCCCCCCCTCCGCCCCTTAGCGCCCGTTGTGGCCACGAGAAAACGCTTTCCAGGACGTATCTCTTCGCCCTCTTGCCGCGTCGGCTACACCCACGGACATAGTCGGCGAGCATCTGCGGGTCTTCATGGGGGAGCGCACGTACGAATGGGCCCTTGCGAAAGGCCTCAGCTACGAGCAGGCCAAGGACGCTCGGCTGCGGCCAGAGCACGCCGCCGATTTCGAGCGCACCTTCAACGACGTGACGTTCGCAGCGGCGCTGCGGTCCAAGGGCGTCGTGGCGGACCCGGTCCAGGTCAAGTGGGAGGTGCACTCCCGCAGCGGGGGCAAGTGGATTCCCTACGACGCCAGCGTCAACGCGGCAATTAGTGCTGCTGCAGCACGCAGGCAGCCGTCGCTTCAGGTGCAGGTGCGGTCGGGCTCGCACGCACGGATGTACCAGATCGACCTGCAGAAGGGGTGTCAGCGGAATCCGAAGACAGGCACGGAGCACAAGATCCGGTGCACCAGTGGAGTTTATGGTCCGCAGTGGGCGGCGCAGATGGGGGCCGGGGACGAGTGGACGCCGTACGGGGAGTCCACCGCTGCTGCGATCGAGCATGCCTTCCAGCGGGGGCAGGAGGCGGTGCAGGTGCAGGTGCAGGTCGGGCCGAGGCCCCAGAGGTACGAGGTTGACCTGCGCAGGAGCTTGCAGGTGAATCCCGAGACCGGCAAGGAGAGAGCGGTGCGCCGCCTTGTGGAGCCCGCCGACATGAGGGGCAAGGTCACCCTGGCGCAGGCCACGGAGGCTGTCAGGTATCAGGGCAGTAAACTGCAGGGGTACGGCAGATCCGCGTCGTGTCGACTGGCGGCGACCCCGCCGCTGGCGCTCAACGTCGAACGCCGCCGGCGACCCAGAAACGGTTGATGTGGAACGAGCCGACGTTTCGCAAACGGGCAATCGTTCAAGGTTGAAAAATCCCCGCCGTGTCAGGAAGCAACGCTGGGGTCGACACGACACGAACTGGCGGTAGCAGGATTCGGCCTACCCCTCTCCCGTCCCCCAAGGGGCGCGAATACCAATACCCGTGTGGTTTTAGCCGCCCTGGAGGTACTTTGTGGACCTGTGCACGCTCCCTGAAGCTCCCCGTTCATGCGCCAAGTGATCTCAGGAGAAAACAGCGACCAAAGGCGCTGGAAGAGGGCAGGGCACGGATCAGATGTGGCCGTGGCCAGGAAATCATGCACGGACGGGGCCCTGCCTGCGGTGCACCTTTGCCCCTTTGGTGCCGCACGCCTTCGCTTGATCCTTCACTCTTGGTGCCGTGAAGTCCACTCAGTGAGGTGTGCCTCTGAGTGCCGCGGGATGAGGGACGATGATGATGATTATGATGATGATGACGATGATGATGATGAGGATGATGATGAGGATGGTGATGATATATGGTGATTGTAGACGATGGTGATCATGAGTTTGTTGGTAGTGGCAATGATGATGGTGCTGCTGCTGTTGATGATGATGATGATGTCCATGATGACCATGGTGACGACGATGATGACGGCGATGCTGCTGGCGGAGGTGGTGATTATGATGACGATGGCGACGATGCTGTTGTTGTTGTTGCTGTTGCGGTTGCTGTTGCTGTTGCTGTTGCTCGTGCTGTTGTTGTAGTTGTTGCGATTGTTGTTGCTGTTGTTGTTGCTGCTGTTGCTGTGGTTGTTGCTGCTGCTGTTTTTGTTTTTGTTGCTGTTATGGTTGTTGTTGTTGTTGTTGTTGTTGTTGTTGTTGTTGTTGGGTTGTTTTTGCTATTTTGATGTTATTGCGTTGTTGTTGTGCTTGTTGTTATCGTTCCGGTTCTTTTGTTGTTGTTGTTGTTGTTGTTGTTGTTGTTGTTGTTGTTGAGTGATTTCTGAAGAATAGTTCTTGTTGATCCTCCTCCTCCAGTGAACCATTCCATTTTTCAATTCAAGTGCTTCTCTCGGAGCTCGCACTATGTTCTTTACAAGGGAAAGTGAGGTGTGCCCCTGGCCCCAGGTTCACAACAACAACGGCTCCCGCCTGATAGGTTCTCACAGTGTATTCCCAAATCGCGCTCTCGCCCGGGACCTCCTCACAGTTTATACGTACAGGAATTTCGCTCTCGCGTAGGACTTCCTCGCAAGTTATTCGGACGCCGCGCCCTCGACACTCAGGAATCACGCTCTCGCTGTGGCCTTGTTTCACGATATATTCAGGAATCGCGCTATCACCTGAGCTCTCCTCTCGCGATTCATGCAGGGCGCACGCTTCAGCAACCCGCCTGCTCGACCTGGCCGCCTGTGCCCACCTTCCCGACCCGCCCGTTAGGGTCTACCCGCCCGATCTGCCTGTCTGGTTCTGCGACGTATTTTCCGCTCCTAGCCCCCCTCTTGCTACTCTCTCTCGTTCTCCATCCTTCCCCTCCCCCTTGTCCCTTCTTTCCATCCGTCGTCTCTTCCCCTGCCTTGAGGGCTGCACGAAAGACACGTTGCAAGTAAGAGAGATATACCCCTAAGGGGGTACGAAGGGGGCAGGTACCGAGGGTTTGGGATATGCGTGTCGAGTGGCACGCGAGCAGATAAGAGCAAACAGTTGTACACAGAGTGTTGCTGTTGTGGTTGAGTTTTCAGTTCCAAAGGATCATTTCCCCCCCCTCTGGTAACCATTGTCTTTGACAGTTGAAGTGCCCCCCCCACCCCTCGGGGCTCGTAAACTTTTTCAATATATCAAGGAACGCTTGTGCCACCAAACTGGGTTGTTGGGCCCCGAGCTACGACAACAACGGCTCCCGCCTGATACTTCCTCATAATGTATTCCCAAATCGCGCTCTCGCGCGGGACCTCCTCACAAGTTATGCAGGAGTCGCGCTCCTGCGTGGGATTTCCTCGCACTTCAGTCGGACGCCGCGCCCTCGACACTCAGGAAGCACGTTCTCGCTTTGGCCTTTCTCACGATTTATGTGGGAATCGCGCTATCACTCGAGCAGTACTCCCCCTTCAGCAGCACGCCTTCTCGACCTGGCCGCTTGGGCCCGCCTTCCTTCCCGACCCGCCCGCTAGGGTCTACCCGCCCGATGGGCTCGTCTGGTTCTGCCACGTGTTTTCTGCTCCAGGCCCCCCTCGTGTCAATCCCGTGTTCCATCCTTCTCCTTCCCCCTTCCATCCGTCTTCTCTTTCCCTGTGTCAGGGCCTGCACCAATTGCACGCGGCAGGTAAGGAAGCTCTACCCCCAGGGGGGTACGATCGAAGACGAAGAGGGAGGGTACAGAGGGTTTGGTGTATACGTGTTGAACGGCACGCATGACTGTTAATCTTAATAGTATCGTTTTTAATGTTGTCGCTGCTGCTGTCGTTGTTGCTATGGTTGTGGTTGTTGCTGATATTGTTGTTGTTATTATTGTTGCTATGGTTTTTGTTGTTGCTGCTGCTGTTTGTGTTGCCGTTTTTTTTTTTTTTTTTTTTTTTTTTTTTTTTTTTTTTTTTGTTTTGTTCATTATTTTTTCCGTTGCTGTTGCTGTGGCTGTTGCTGTTGTTGTCGCGTTGTTGTTGTCGTCGTTGTTGTTGCTGCTGCTGCTGCAATTGTTGTTGTCGATGATGTTGCCGTTGCTGTTGTTGTTGTTGTTGCTGCTGCTGCTGCTGCTGCTGATGCTGATTGTGATGCCGCAGCTGATGATGCTGATGATGCTGCTGCTGCTGCTGATGATGATGATGATGACAATGATGATGATGGTGATGCTGATGATGATGAGGAGGAGGATGAGGAGGAAGAGGTTGAGAGAGCATGAGGCGCAGGCCTAAAGGGCCAGGGTTGTAGAGCAGAGCCATGGCTGCCGCTAGCCATGCCGCCAGCTTGGGCCAGCTCAGAAGTGATAGCAGTGCTTAGATGTCTCTGCAGTGGTTTGGCCGCTCTCCCTATTCGAACTCCCTCCTCCCTCCCTTTATCTCTCCTCACTCTATCTCTTCTCTCCTCTTGTTGGGTACATCTCCATACGTCCGCACGCCTGATGTGTTCGAAGTTTACCCGCGGTAGATTTTCGCAGTATGGCAGCACGGGCAATTGTCCTACGTTTGCGGCTCGTAGTCTGGTGTGCGCGTCTTCCGTGTAGTTTCGTGTGATCGGTGCTGATCCGTGTGTGACTGGGCACCCCTCTCTGGGGCGCCTGTTCAACAGCGTCCCATGCTGGATTGCAACCGGGCTCGCCTAGCGCTAAGCCGTCGGCGAATCAAGAAAGGCTTCCCTCCCCCTCCTCTGGCAGACTCGGCGGCGCGCCAGGGGGGGAAGGGCAGAGGGGGAGGGCCTTCTCAGAAGACCAGGAGCGCCCCTGGCCTTTTGTGAAGCTCTCTGCGCCTTCTCCGATGCCTCAAAGGGGGCTTTTCTTTCAGAGGGCCAGAGGGCTTCTGAGAAGCCTCGTCGCCTTCCGGGAAGGCCTCCTCCCTCTCGCTCCCCCCTCGGCTCGCCGCCGACAGGAGGAGGAGGAGGACGAGGAGGAGCAGGAGGAGGAGGAGGAGGAGGAGGAGGAGGAGGAGGAAGAGGATGATGATGATGATGATGATGATGATGAGGAGGAGGAGGAGGGTGGGCAGAAAAGGCCAGAAACCTCTGAGATGCCTCTCGGATTCTCTTCGGATTTCTTCCGAGAGCTTCTCGGAGTCCTTTTTGGGTGTCTTGGGGGTCTCTTGGCAGTCCCAGGGGCCTTTGAGGGCGTCTTGGATGCCTCCGGAGAGCCTCTTGGCCGACCTTTGGCTGGGACAGTGCCTTCCAGCAAGGCCTGCAGCCGCGTCGGTGTCGAGCTAGACGACAGTGCAGCCATCGTGCTACCACCAGGAGCGAAGAGAGGGCTCGCGGGCCACGGCCAGGCTCTGCCACGACCAGGCTGCCCCGACGCGCCACGGTCCGAAGACCAGAGCCCCTCCCGAGCCCTGCACACTGTGGCCGGCGTCTTGGCGGAAGGGCTCGCGCTGTCGCGGAGCCGTGCCCGTGACTGCCGTGGGACGTGTGCGACGCGCACCGCACAGAGGTAAGAGGAAGAGGAGGAGGAAGGAAGAGGAGGAGGAGGAGGAGGAGGAAGAGGAGGAGGAGGAGGAGGAGGAGGAGGAGGAGGAGGAGGAGGAGCGGAGAGGAGGAGGAGGAGGAGTGAGGAGGAGGAGGAGGAGGAGGAGGAGGAGGAGAGGTAAAGCGGATGGCCCCCGGGCGAGAGCGCAGAATCCATGAGAGAGGGCAGAGGCGGTGCCGCTGCCCTCTCCGTCGCGCGCCTGCCCTGGCTGCTGCGGAGCCTCGCGCCCTCCCTCCCGCGCCGGCCTCCTTCTCCCCCTCATCCCCGACCTCCTCTTCCTCCTCCTCCTCCTCCTCCTCCTCCTCCTCCTCCTCCTCCCCAACCTCCTCCTGTCCGCGGGTCGGCGGTGCGCTTGCGAATGCTGATCGATCGCACGGGGTTGGAGTATCAGATGTTCACTAGGTTCGGCGGCGGGGCCGACGAGTCTCGTGGCGGCGTCGCCACTATCTTCCCTTTCAAGGAGCGCAGCGGCCTGTCCTTCTCCCAGTCCGTATTCGGGGAGGGGAGGGCGCTGCGTGTCAAAGCCACCATCACCTCGGGCGCACATGAGGGCCGCACCATGAAGCACTGGAACATCCACGACCACGACCTCTCGAGGGAGCAGGTGGCGGTCGTGGCGGGAGCCATCGAGCAGGACCTCCACGCAGTGACGCTGGCGCCGCAGCGTCACTTCGTCACTGTCTCGGGCGACTTCAACGACGGGGAGAACTCGGAGGTGGAGGACCCTCTCGTACCT